CCACCCTCGAACAAAGTCTGCTGTTTGTATTTCTTGCTGCAAAGCAACTCCCGCCACTGCTGCAGTAGATGCTACAGCTACAAGTCCAATCACTGTGGCCATTATCAGTCCAGTCATTCTCCTCATTCAATGGGTCAATTCAGTCAAGGCATTGTAGAGCTGCATTACTCCCGCAGATTCGCTCCAGGGTCGAGTTAAATTGACAGGTAACCAAATCTCAGGACATGCTTTAACAAGATACAAACTGTCTCGGGTTCGGTTAAAAGTTTTCCATCAGGTAAAATTTACACAATGTTGTAAAATACAATTTGAAGAACAAGTCAAAACCTCTGTACTAGAATTCCAAGTAATATCTCCTGATAAAATAACATAAGGAATTTTCACACAAGCTTGACTATACCAAGTAGCATTAATATGAAGATTTACACTAATAGGCGTAACAGTATTAGAAATATTGATAGAGATATTGCCAATCCAGGTTTTAATTGGCTCCCCAGATGCTAATAATTTCCATAAATCATCTTGAGAGTTTGTATCTCCCAACAAATGCGGCATAGGAGGGGTTAATCCTCCGTCATGCCAAATAACAGTTTCATTGCCAGTTCCTGTCAAAGAACCATTATGTATGTGCCATATTAAAGGTATTTTAGAAAATTTATTAATAAAGTCTCCATGAGGGCTCTAATCCACTATCTTAAAGTCTGTATGATTTAACAATATCTTAGGCTGTTCTCTTTGACAATGAGTCCATACCAATTATTGCATTCCGGGATATACATTAGGGAGTGGGCAAATAGATAACAGAGTAGGAGAGGCCTCAGAGATATTACTGATCTTCCCCCTAAAGCCTCTTGCAGAAATAATAACTGGAGTTGCTGCAAAAGAAGGATGATTGTACCTCACTCCCCAAAACTCATGTGAATAAGATAAACAATGAGAACCATATCTTGGGAAAATAGGGAATCCCCTCACCCCCAAGCTATGATTATTAATATGCCTGCCTTCTTCTTTAGCAAAAGGAAAAGGGAACATTTTAAAACTCTTGCAGAAACTTCTGAGTGCGGGACTTCTTAGCCATCTCTCCATTTCAGAAGTTGGGTTGGCAACCACTCAGCTCCGGAATCTGTGGAGATAAGAGCAAACCCTCGACCCCATTGTAAAATCTCTCCTTCTGTGGCTCTATAAACTATTGGTTCTGGGGGGGAGCACTTTCTTTTAGGCTTAGGAAAAGGAGACAGGGTTGCAGAGTTCTCCAGCGTCTGTCACTGATTTTAGCCGACAGAGCGCTTTCCACCAATCATAGCACCAGCTCTAGCCCCTGCAAACAACTCAGCCTGATATGCAGTTCCGCCGATCCCTGCACAAGCTCTGATATGAGAAAAGCTATGATTCCTGGATCGGGAGGCAGCTCCTCCCCATGTTTTGGCCGTGCGAAAGTAAAAGTAGCTCCAGGCAATGGACCAGCTAAAGGGCTGTTAGCAGAATGACATTTAAGCATTTGTTTTAGCAATTTTATAATCTCTTGAACATCATTCCCTTCTCCCACATCATCTGATTCCTTCTTTGCCTAATTCCTCCTCAGCTACTTCTGCATACTCCTCTTCCTCCCTTTGGATTCCATTCTCTTTCCTATCTTTATCACTTTCTTCACCTTTCTCCGGGTCTGTCTCTAATAACTGTAAAGCTTGAGTAATAGCACTACACAAAGACCATAGTTTTAAATTCATAGTCTGTCTCCGTTGATGAGCAGTGCGTAATGATTTTACTACTTGTTGCCATGCTCGCGAATTCAATTCAACCTTTTCTTGACTGTAAAACCGATAACAAAGTTGTACATGCACAAATAATTCTCCCAATAATTTATCTTTAA